GTCCGCTGAGGGAGTCAGTGTCCCAGTAGGCCTAAGGGCCTTTCATGGCTCTGGCCTAGACAGTATTTGCAGTTCTTGGGCTCTGGGTGCTGTCCCTTCCTCTAGTTTGGGCAGCTGTGCTGCCTCTGGATGGGCTGCTGCTCCCAGGGCTCAGGGTCTGTGGTCCGCTCAGGGTCTTGTCTTCTCCAGGCCAAGCTAAGGCAGCAGCCTGTTATATGGTGTTCCAGGCTCAAGGCTTGGAGGGAGAACTTTAAGCTTGTCTGCTTTTAGGGACACAGGACCTGGGTACAGGTGCCCAGAGTCTGCTCAGAGCTTCGTCCAGTTAATTCTGGGGTCTGTCAGTGAGTTTGTTTGTCCACCTGCCAGCCCCTGTTTTGTGGTGAGCTTTCTGGAGTATAGCCTTGTTGATTAGTAGCTGTTGATTTCCTTCATGCTTTCCTCAGCAGAATAGTCTTTCCCTCTTCTGAGGTGAGCCTTTGCGCCTGTGCCCTCCTTAGCAGGTTCTGCTATTTTACAAACCTGCTAGCAGAATGACCCGTAGTCGCGTTCACTTGCTGGACTGGTGGCCTTCTTGTGGGCCTGGGGTATGACCCTCAGCACCAACAGTGGGGCACTGAAGGCTCGAGGGCTGATTCTGACCCGTTGCTTTATTTTTGCTCCCAGCCCTTTGATGGTAGAGACCTGCTGCCTGTAACATGGGTGTCCAGCAGGTTACACTACACTCAGCCATCGCCAAGTCTATGGCCAGTGATCAGTGCTTTTGATATGTCTGTTTTGGCATTTGAAGATAATACTGCCAACCTTTGAGAGATACTGGTAACTGATGGTATAATTTCCTGGTTCGTAGAGATGCAGCCTCTGAAAAGGGCTCCTTGATGGACCCCAGGCATGGTCTTCTGATCCTGGTGCCAGTGGTGGGCAGGTTCCCATTCCTTAGGGCAGGGAGGCATAGCTTTGCCCATTTCTGGTTAGTAACAACTGTCTCCTGTCCAGTGGTATTCTCTGTTGCTTCAACCATGGGGGCAGTAAGTGTTCGTTAGTATAGATACATCTCTGCCAGGACAGAGGTTAAGAGAGGGGTTTGGGGCCAGGGTGACCTAGGAATGTGCTGTACTTCCCTGATTACCAGATTCTGGGAGGCACTGCCTCATTCTGCTGCTGCTTATGTAGCAAGGGAGGCTGTACCCACGACATTGCAAGTTCTGCCTCTACAGCATGGAAAGGCTGGGATTTGCTGCTCTCCTCAAGGACAGGGCCCCACTTTTCAGCACTTTTGATATCTGGAGGGCCAGCTCGTTTATCTGATTGGTGGTGGCTAGTGTGGCCATTGCTTTTCTACCTGTCCCAGGCTAGAGTCCTGTTCCTGACAGGCCCTGCCTTCCCAGCCCCAATTTGGGACCAAAGTGCAACTGGGATCATGGGTTGGGGAGCTCAGATTACCCCTCTCCATAGTATTTCCCTGGGCTAGGCTCACACCAGACCCGGGAGATATGTGGAAGTAAAATGGGATGGGTGGTGCTTAAAGACGGAAGGGACCAGTGTAGTAACTAACTCGCCTGGGACCCCACCCCTTCCAGCTTTGGGCCTGTGCAATGGATTCTCTCCTAGAGGCCAGGGGTCTGGGCTACTTCAATATCCGCTGCTCATTTGCTCCATCTGGCCACGTGCACGTTCCTTAGATGCAAACTGCTTTGAACTTTACAGCTGTGTAAGTTGGTTGTGTCTGTGCCCATTAAAGAAAAAAAAAACAAACCCTGCATTTTAATGAGAAAAAAGAACCTGGGGAAAGTTCCTTTGCTTCTGTAGAGGAAATATAAGACTTCGAATTCTGGAAATTGTTTTCTGCTCCTCTTTCCTGGAAGCTACACACCTGCCTACATACCCTAAGACCTGCGCCTGGATACACACGTGAATCCTTTGGCGTTTAGGCGCGCTTGCGTTTCCCCGGGTCTTGTGTGTGGAGGAGAGGGGTGCTTGGCCCGCGCCGGCCCCTCTCTGTACACCCAGCACTACCCGCCCGCTTGTGTCAGGTCGTATATGTCAAAATAAAGCCTCTAGAAACTGAACTCTGTCCAAGTCTTCGTGAAACCTTCACAGCCTCTGGGTGGGCTGGCCCAGCTAGTCGCTCACACTTGTTGGTCTCCGCTTGAAGGGAGGTACCAGGTAGGAATTTGGGGACTGGACTGAACTGGGTCGGAACGGGTACTGAAGGGCGGTGCCTAAGTTTTGGGGCAGCACAGGAGCGGTTGGAGATGGGGGTCGAAGCAGGCACTGAGGGGCAAGGCAAGTGGTGCTGGAGCTGGGGGTCTGGGCGGGCACCGAGGAGCAGGGTCGTTAGGGTGGACCCGGAGCGGGTGGGGTGGGGTGGAGGAGGCCGCTCCGACTGGGCGGGGCCGAAGGATGTTGCTTCGTGGCGGACACGGTTCCGATAGGAAGCCAAGCTAACTCCTCCAGTTCCGCCTTTAGATCCGCCAATGGGCATCTGACCCGCGAGTTCTCCGGGTCCCCATGGCAGCCCAGCGCGTTGGGAATCTAATTGGCTACGTCTGCCGCAGCGTAGCGCTGGCGGTCGACTGCGGGCGGCCCTGCCACGTAGACGGCAGCCGATTGGCTCTTCCTGGTTACGTCACTGGCTGCGCCGCCTCCGGCCGGAACTCCGGGCCAGCCCGTGTCTCTAACCAGTTCCTCCTCCGGTGTACTGGCTGCCCCTAGACCCTACATCAAGGTAGATCAGGCGGACGAGGTGAGGCCAGAGTCGGTCGGTCTGGCTGGTGAAGGACGCGGGCAGGGCACGGCGGCGGGAGTGCGCGGCAGGGGTCGGTCAGGGGGCCTGTAGGTACTTTGGAGCCAGGGACCCACTCCTGTCACCCGCAGGCGCGATGAAGGCACTGATCTTGGTGGGTGGGTATGGGACACGGTTGCGGCCGCTGACGCTAAGCACCCCGAAGCCATTGGTGGACTTCTGCAATAAGCCCATCTTGCTGCATCAAGTGGAGGCGCTTGCCGCGGTAAGGCCCTGGGTCAGCTGTGGCGGGAAGAGGGATGGATAGTGACTGAAAGGCCAGGGGTGGTCATACCTTGTGACCGAGTCCGTCGATTAGGCCACCTTATTGTTTCCCACAGGCAGGTGTGAACCACGTGATTCTGGCTGTGAGTTACATGTCACAGATGTTGGAAAAGGAAATGAAGGCACAGGAGCAAAGGGTGAGGCATGCATGGACTTAGTTCTTTCTTTTGATCCCTGGGGCTTGAGGGAGAATATAACCAATTAGATGGCTTCTTCCTTTCAGCTTGGAATCCGAATCTCTATGTCTCATGAAGAGGAGCCTCTGGGGACAGGTCAGTAGAGAAAGGAAGGCTTTTGGTCATGGTTTAGGGTCAGTAAAGGCATTATTCAATCTGGTAGTAACATATGACTTGTCCCCTTGCCTAGCTGGGCCTCTGGCACTGGCCCGAGACCTACTCTCTGAGACCGCAGACCCTTTCTTCGTTCTCAACAGCGATGTGATCTGTGATTTCCCCTTCCAAGCCATGGTACAGTTCCATCGACACCATGGCCAAGAGGGCTCCATCTTGGTAAGAGACCAAGTCTTTCTTCTCTGATATCCCCACCCTCATACCCCGTTGGTCTGGACACTCGGTCTTAAAGTCTCTTCATGTTGTGCAAAGCTGTGTATGTGTAGGATATTTCAGGGGCAAAGCCTTTGAAACGTGGATATGCGTGTGTATCAAGGATAAAGAACATTGGTCCAGGCCTAAGGTGCACTCCGCCTCCATATTCAGGTAACCAAGGTGGAGGAGCCTTCCAAGTATGGCGTGGTGGTATGTGAGGCTGACACGGGCCGCATTCACCGTTTTGTTGAGAAGCCACAGGTGTTTGTGTCCAATAAGATCAACGCAGGCATGTACATCCTGAGCCCTGCTGTGCTGCAGCGCATCCAGGTGTGTAAGAGACTGCTGGCGGGCTAGGGTGGAGCCGGGCTCTGTTATGTGACCTGCTCACAAGTTGCCCACTTCCACAGCTGAAGCCTACATCCATTGAGAAGGAGATCTTCCCAGTCATGGCCCAGGAGGGACAGCTATATGCCATGGAGCTCCCGGGTGAGGCGGAGAGGCTATCAGGTGAGGGCTAGTCTGTAGTTGGCAGATCCTCTGACTCACTTCTCCCTGCAGGCTTCTGGATGGACATTGGACAGCCCAAGGATTTCCTCACTGGCATGTGCCTCTTCCTGCAATCATTGAGACAGAAGCATCCAGAGAGACTCTATTCAGGCCCTGGCATTGTGGGGAATGTCCTTGTGGTGAGGCCCTGCCCAGCCTGTCACTAATCCTTTCAGATTTGGGAGACAAATGACCTACTCTTACTTTCCTCCACACTCTCAGGACCCAAGTGCCCGTATTGGTCAGAACTGCAGCATTGGCCCCAATGTGAGCCTGGGTCCTGGTGTGGTGGTGGAGGATGGCGTGTGCATCCGGCGGTGTACCGTGCTTCGGGATGCGCACATCCGCTCCCACTCCTGGCTTGAGTCATGCATCGTGGGCTGGCGTTGCCGTGTGGGCCAGTGGGTAAGCCTGGGAGCTGGGCTGGGTGGGGATAGGCGCAGGGAATGTGTGTCCCATTAACAAGGCTCCCCCCCCCCCCCCCCCGCAGGTGCGCATGGAGAATGTAACTGTGCTGGGTGAGGATGTCATAGTTAATGATGAACTCTACCTCAATGGAGCCAGTGTGCTGCCCCACAAGTCTATTGGGGAGTCGGTGCCAGAGCCTCGTATTATCATGTGAGGGGTACATGGGGCTGACCAAGCCCCTCTTCACTGCCAGCAGTGTAGGAATCACTCACCACCTCGGAAGACCCTGGACTTGGTGCCGTCTGTCTAGGGAGGAATGGGTGACTCTCAAACTGTTGGACATCTGCCTTCTGATGGGGACCGAAACTGACAGAATCCTGTTGGGCATAACCCACAAGCCCCACTCCCGCAAGAAGAGCTGGGCCCGGGGCTGTATGGAATAATAATTTAATGCTCACTGTAGCCTGGATTGCAAGTCAAGCTCAGGCATAACTAGGGTGTGGCTGGGCTCCCACCAGTGAGGCTCACACAGGCAGATGGTTGGAAGTGTCTAAGAGGGAGGGCGATGGGAAACAGAGCCGAAAGAGCTCATAAATAGGGCTCGGTCTGGGTCTGAGGGTGGAGGATCCAGGACGGTGCAAGCTGTGTGCATTAGGCTGGCCTAGGCAGCCGAGGAGGTGGCACTTGTGGTGGCTGCCTTGTCCCAGTCCTCTACAGACACGATGGTGGCCTTGCAGAAGAAGCAGTCCTTGTTGTTCATCAGGTGCTGGTTGATGCAGGCTCTGCAAGAGGGGAGGGGAATGAGCTCTGCCTCGTGTGTCCTAGTTGCTGCCCAAGTCCATGGGGCCCACTTACTTGCAGGACTTGTGGCCACAAGGCTGGAACACAGCAGAGATGGGGTGGGCATAGCAGATTGGGCAGAGGTCCTCTTCACTGGTGGGCTGTGGACGGAGAGTGAAGGGTGGGTGGGGCTGTACCTGTAACTACTCTGGTGTGCACAGATGTATTGAAATAGCATGGGCCTGTGTGTTCTAGCTCTACTCACCAGGGAGGCAGCTGCTGCCTGGGCAGACGCAGCCGTCAGGTGTGCCAGCATCTGTTCCACCTGGGCCAGCTCCTCCGCACTGATATAATCTGTATCTGGGTTAGTGGTAGTTGGTGTCAGGTCCCTTGTAGGACTAGAACTCAGTGCCTCTTGAATATTCCCAGGCAGGAGTATTGCTACTCTTGAGGATCCTGAGCTTAGAACATCCTGGAACTCTTTTTGACCCACCCCTAGCCCACTTACAACTCTGTAGAGAGAAGCGTTTCCGGTCCGGGGCAGGCAAGGTAGTGCCAGGTGCTAGGGGCTCTGGCTGCCCCAGGAGATAGCATATGGAACGGAGCTGGAAGCAGGGATCAGCCAGGAGCACCGAGGTGGCTTGCTCTGTCCTAGATAGGGAGGGTGCATAGGTAGTGGGAAAGCATTGAGCCTGTGTGAGAATTACCTCCGCTGTGGGGTTGGCTGACAACCCAGAGGCCTCATTATTACGCCGTCATTCTTCGCATTTTGATGTTTACCAAGCCTCTTAAGCCCCGGAGCCTTAGTAGGACCTGACTCTGATCTCAAGGACCCACAGAATGGAATGAGAAAAACCACTCTCCCACTAATTATCATCTGACTTCTCCGTGAACACCGCATACACAAATAAGTGTAAAGGGAGAAGGGCGAGGATTCCGCCTACCACATAATACATTAATCCTTCAAAATCACTTAGAGAACATAAACGACAAAAACAAAAAAAAAACAAAAACCCTCTCAGACTTTCTTTTGCTCAAAAGGGAAGTGAGCCTTCCAGTCAAGTGAACTAGGACGTTGGCTCCCTCTAGCGGTCACGCTGGGTCTTCCAAGTGCCAGGGCAAGTGGCTGCCCCACCCCTTAACAGCAGGAGCCAATAGGAGCTTGGGTCCCCACCCCTGAGCAGTCACTTCCTAGTGAGTACTTAGAATCCCCTCAGAAAAGCGCTTGGAGAAGCTAGCGAAACAGTAAGACGGGCTGGGGCCCCAGCTCACAGCCCCAGACCAGAAGAGCAGAAGCCAGCTGGGAGGGTGGAGCCGGCACTGCCTCTCGAGCCATGGGCCACAGAGAACCACAATCGGCAAGCCTGTACACAAGCAGGTGAGTCACGGAGCTGTTGACCAGCACTAGGCTGCCCCCATCTCTTCCCTGGTGGTCACTGCCATGGCCTGGCTGGTGGTGCCAGGCATACTACTGTGCATGCTGGGTGCTGGATTAGGCACCTCAGATTTGGAGGACCTTCTGCCTCTTGCTCCCCACAACTGCCCCAATAAATGCATCTGTGCTGCCGATGTGCTGAGCTGCGCGGGCCATGGATTACAGGACGTGCCGGTAGCATTACCTGCCACTGCCTCAGAACTCGACTTGAGCCACAATGCACTCAAACGCCTGTACCCTGGCTGGTTAGCACCCCTCTCCCGGCTGCGTGTCCTGTACCTAGGCTACAATAAATTGGATATGCTGGGCCACGGTATCTTCACCAATGCCAGTGGCCTGAGGATACTGGATCTATCATCTAATATGTTGAAGATACTCCACACCCATGACCTGGATGGACTAGGGAGGCTGGAGAGATTGCTTCTCTTCAATAACCGCCTGGTGCACTTGGACCTGGATGCCTTCCAGGGTTTGAACATGCTCAGCCACCTCTACCTTGGCTGCAATGAACTCACCTCTTTTTCTTTCAACCACTTGCACGGTCTGGGGACAACCCACCTGCGCACTCTAGACCTGTCCTCCAACTGGCTGAGACACATCTCCATCTCCAGGCTGGCCACACTGCCAGCTTTTCTCAAGAATGGGCTCTACTTGCACAACAACCCACTGCCCTGTAACTGCCGCCTCTACCACCTGCTCCAGCGCTGGCACCAGCGGGGCCTAAGTGCCCTGCGTGATTTTGCACGTGAGTACACATGTTTGGTCTTCCAGGTTTCTGCATCCCGAGTGCGCTTCTTTGAGCACAGCCGGGTGTTTGAGAACTGCTCGGCTGCTGCAGCTCTAGACTTAGAACTCCCTGAAGAACAGCTGGACACGCAAGTGGGGCAGTCCCTGAGGCTCTACTGCAACACCAGCATGCCTGCTGCACGAGTAGCCTGGGTTTCACCAAAAAATGAGCTGCTTGTTGCACCAGGCTCTCAGGATGGCAGCATTGCTGTGCTGGCTGATGGCAGCTTAGCGATACACAGGGTGCAAGAGCAGCACGCAGGCATCTTTGTGTGCCTGGCAACTGGGCCCCACCTGCACCACAACCAGACACTTGAGTTCAATGTGAGCGTGCATAAACCTCGGCCTGAGCCGGAGACTTTCAATACAGGCTTCACCACATTGCTGGGCTGTATCGTGGGCCTGGTGCTGGTGCTGCTCTACTTGTTTGCACCACCGTGTCGTGGCTGCTGTCACTGCTGCCGGCGTTGCCGGCGAGCCTGCCGTAACCGCTGCTGGCCCCAAGCACCCAGTCCACTCCAGGAGCTGAGTGCACAGTCCTCAGTGCTCAGCACTACACCACCAGATGCACCCAGCCGCAAGGCCAGTGTCCACAAGCATGTGGTCTTCCTGGAGCCGGGCAAGAAAGGTCTCAATGGCCGTGTGCAGCTAGCAGTAGCTGAAGACTTTGATCTGTGCAATCCCATGGAGTTGCAACTCAAGGCTGGTTCGGAGTCAGTCAGTTCCACAGGCTCAGACGGTGTCATGATGACCTAGACTGCCTGGGTGTCCCTACACAGGACATAGCCCTCCTGCTGCTTGCCCTGTCTGCTGCTGCAGTCTAGAGAACTGACATGCTGGGGGGATGCACTGTGCCTGGTCCTTCAACTGCATGTGAGCCTTGACCTGGACCATAATCGTTCTACTCACTGGTAAAGGGGTTGAGGCTCCCCAACTTGCCTCCTGCTCTGCCTAGCTCAGGATAAAGCCTCAGACTACAAGAGCCTGCTTTCCCTAGGACCTCTTTGAGTAACCAAATGTCCCATGAAGATTAGGGACCAAGACCATCTGGTAAGAGCCCTTGCATTAAAACTCTGGGACCACTTCAAGAGTTAATGTAGATGTTAGGGTGTGGTACAGAAGTCAAGCATACCACCTCCCCTTCTCTGCCAGAGAGCTCACCAAGGAGGGAGAAGGAGGCTCAAAAGATCCAGCTCCCACTCTTAGGATGGAAGGAATAAATGAGCCCTTCCTCTGCTGAAAGAGGCCCTGTCTACGACTACCACCACCCAGCCTCCGGAAAGCTAATGACTCCTGTGGAGTCTGGTGGGCATGCCTGGCTCCTTCAGGACACTTGTGCAAGAGTAGCCCTGCTGTCTTTGGCTAGAGGTGGAGCCAATCCCATGGGCTCCTAACCCAGCAGAAAAAGCCTGGCGACTATGACTGACCTGGAATTCATGTCCCTGGAGGGCACGAGGCCTCTTAGGACTGGCACTCATCTCAGCCTAATGGCTGAAGCAGTATCCTGAACTCACAGCCTCTACCACTCCTATGGGCGGGTGGGGAAGAGGGTTGGAGCCCCTCCCAGGATGAGCTGGTGGCTTTCTCTGTCCTAGATGCCTACTAAGGCATTTTGTAATAAAGGTGGTACATGGTCACTGCTGGGTCTTCCCAGATGGGTAGCTCTGTGTGCCCGGGTAGCCCCTCACCACCTATCCTTTGCCTCAGTGTCCCAAACTAGATTCTGAGGTTCATTTTGAGATAAGTGTGTACAACACGGCCCTGCCCCATCAGTACCTCCTCAAAGGGCACACCCAGTTCCCATGGGGGCCAACAGTCCCCAACACTCACTCTGAGGCTGGACCATGCACCAGGAGGCGTACCAGGATGCCGGTCACTGCCACCAGGATAGGGTAGTGGTCCACACTCTCCAGGCCTACAGGGAGGGAAGGAAGATGGAGCATTCACGCAGTTCTGTGGCAGGAGCTTCAGGCAGGCTTTTCCCACTAGTCTTTCTACATAAAGGCAAGCTGAGGCTGGGGCTGTACAGCATGGCTGTCCTGGCACCAAATGCAGAATCTAGCACTGCTGCTCCTGGCATGGAAACTAAGGCCTTGGTGTGCTGCGGTGCAGGGCATCGAGATCCTTACCAGGAAGCCGTAGGGTGACCACACGGTCAAACAGGTTCCTCTCAGCTGTCACCCGGTTCAGCACCTGGTTCAGCAGCTGTGAGGGCAGAAGCCTATTGGTGGACGGGCAAGCGCACCACGTGAGTTATCCCAGGGTCTTACCCTCCTGGCCCAGGTGAACACACCTGTGCAAGACGCCGAAGCAGCATCTCAGAGGTAGGGCGGGACCAGTCAAGGAATATCTCAGGCACCAATGTGATGGTCATTTCCAAGACTCGCAACAAGCTGACCGAGAGGTCAAAGCAGGTGGCACAGACCTTGAGCTGCCGGCTGTCCACAAAGTTTCGCTCCAGGCGTTCAGCAGCCTGTTGAATCTAAGTCACCAACAGAAAGGCAGGAAGCAGTGAGAGGCCTTGAACACTGCTGGGCCCTGGCCTCTGCCCACCCTACCCCAACACTCTACAGCCCACCTCCTGGATCATGCCGATAAACTCAGAGAAGGCCCAGTTGAGCTGGTTAAGGACACTGTTGAGGAAGCTGGGTGCTACATCAGGCCCTTGTCGCAGCAGGTCTGCCATGTGCTGCTGCAGCAGGGTAGAAGGGCAGGGTTCTGGGGGCAGAGGAAAGCAACATCACCGGGGCTTGCAGCGCGGACCCCTGCTTGTCACATACTGCAACACTGGTGGTAGAACCAAAAGGTGGCTCTCTAAGAATATTCAGATCACGAAAGTAGACGAGCAGCACAGAACCATGTGGGAGTTAGGAACAAGTATGTCTCCCTCCCACTGAGCAAGCCTGATCTGAAGCGAATTCTGAATCGCGTGCCTGCAGGAAAGTGTCAGATACAGACAAGACAACTTAGACCGTCTCCACTACTATCAAGGCCACCTTCTGCGAGAGCCCAGACTGGGCCCTGCTGTCCTGTGCTGCCCTTGGCCTGGCCTTGGCATATGGCTTAGGTGGTGAGTGCCAAGTCTGGGGTGGAAGGGCAGCAGTAACCAGAGCTCTCAGCTACAGCTGGCCCGACATTCCTCTCTAACCCTCTGATGCAAATCAATAGTCCCGGCATAGGAAGGTGTCTGCCCCACCGCCCTCCCCACTTGCAGTTCAGCTCCGTCCTAGAGTCTAGACGAAGGCATTTAGCAAGGACTTGCTGTGTGAGGCTGCACGAGGCCTCTCTGGGAATACCCAGAGACCAGGATGCTGGCTGAAAGGGCGAGACGATGGTGAGTGAGTGAGGACCGTGGCAAGCCCTCTGCCAGCTGCACAGCTCAAGGTCTCAGCCAGGCCCAGGGGAAGACCCTTTGACAGGCACAGGAGACAGCACAACTTCTGTTCCGAATCAAACCTGAAGCTTACTTTGGGTCCTGATCAGTTTCTAGCTTGTGCCCCTCTTGAGTCAAGGATCCAAGGCCAGAAGACAACAAAAAGAAGATACACTTAGGGAATGTGGCTGGGGTAAGGAGCTGGCACAGGGCAAGGAATGGAGTGTTATTGTATATACATAAGCTAGCAGCAAGTGGAGGGGTATGGCCCCCTTTCCCTGTGAGTCCTTCACTACAAGCTGACGGAAAACAAAAGGACTTGTCCTAGCCTAGCTCTCATTTTTCCTAGGGAGTAGGAAAAATGGAAAACCAAGAAAAGGGTTAGGAGCCTAGAACAAGTCCAAGGCTTGGAGGACAGAGTCTCAAAGAGACCCCGAGAGTAGCAGGAAAGGACTATCAGCCTGTCTAGAGCGGTCACCGGGACCTGTCCAGCCTGTCTAGAGCGGTCACCGGGACCTGTCCAGCCTGTCTAGAGCGGTCACCGGGACCTGTCCAGCCTGTCTAGAGCGGTCACCGGGACCTGTCCAGCCTGTCTAGAGCGGTCACCGGGACCTGTCCAGCCTGGATACTCACTTTGGAGGCTGGGTAAATTGGCATCCTCTGGCTTGGTTTTCAGCAGATGTGGAAGCCGTGTATAGCGGTATCCAAACCCACAGCCCTGGAGGTGAAACGGAAGGGGCAGAGTAACACTTCCTTCCAGCTGGCCTTTGCCATCCCCTCAGGTCAGGCTTACCCTCCAAAGCCGCACTAGGATCCAGTTGGTCTGGGCCCAGGGCCGTTGCTCATAGGGTGCCAAAAGGTTCCTCACCATGGCAATACGTCTAGGAAGGTGAGGGATGGCAGGCAGAGGGTGAGGCTGGACATGATCCTATGCAGAGTGGGTGTGTACCTCCCCTAGGTTTCTACTTACTGCTCCTCGGGGATCCGTTCCACAGCCCGCAGGGAGTGTGGGTAGCACACGTAGCTGGCCAGGGCCTGCATCAGGGAGTCTCGAATGTCTGTCAGGATATGCTATGGCTCAGCAAGTCTCTGCATGGGCTGGGGCCCCCAAGCCTAATGCCCACACGGCCACAGTTTAGGTAGAAAACAGCTTGCCGGACATGCCATTCCACCCCCATTCCCATGGTCCTCTGGAAGACACCTCACCAGTGCCTACGATGCGTGGGTCAGCAAAGTGTTTGGCAAGGGTGGCAGCCAAGCGGGTCAGGGTCTCTTCATAGCCTGCAAAGGAGGGCAGTGAGGACTTCTAATCAGGAGTGAGGGTTCTAGAGAAGGCATGTCCTTTGTGGGCAGGCTTTGTATAGTCGACCCTAGAGCTAGCTGTGGGGGCCAGTCTGGACCCATCTTAGCATCTAGAGACATTGGGCAAGGCAACAAAATAAACTAGCAATTGGGAAGGGGATTAAGGCACTGTGGGGAGCAGACAGATTCTGGTAAGAGTCCTGATCAAGGCACCTCATTCTGGAATGCACCTGAAGACTCAGCCATCAGAGCTGCTTGGTTCCCAGAGCTCTGAAGACAGAGCAACACCAAGGACTGGTAGGCGCTGGTAGGCACAAGCAAGGGGCTGCCAGTTTACAGCCTACTCTGGGTACCCACTGCTAGGCCCAGCCTGGGTCAGTGGTCTTGGCATTGAGCCCAACAGTGCTCTCCTCTGGTTAAGCTTTACACTACAAGTACTGTGCCTGCTTACTGCCACTCTGAAATCAATCCCAGGGCGGGACAAAAGGGGAGGAGCCAGCTGGCTGTGAGACAGCAGCCATCAGCAACACCAGCAGAGGAGAGAGAGTCAGGGCTGCCTAGCCATCTGCTGCCTCCGAGCCTGCAGGCGCTAGTTCAGTACAAGAGCTTGATGTGTGTGGTTGGGTGGCGACAATGAACTAGAGCCTGCCAAGTTCACTCTAAAGATCTCTTTTCTGCACTTCCCTCCCAACTGTGCACGTCACCTGGGAGCTCTTCCATGCTGTGCACAGGGCCAAAATAATTCTTGAGAGCACTGTAGCTGTTGATGGCCACACTTAAGTAGAACTCAGGCATGAAGGCAAAAAGAGATCCTGTGCGATCCCCATGCTCGATGGTCCGTAGGCAGACACGCAGCAGCCAGTAGATATCCAGCATTTTCTCCTGCAGGAAGCACACAGAATGCTGCTGGGCCATTTACTGCGAGGGCCACAGGGACATGGTCTGGTCTAGGGATCAGGAAGGCCTTCCCATGACAATGATGTCAGAACTGAGACCTGCACTACAGGAAGTGTGATTAGTGGCCTAAGCTGAAGGAATGGAGTCCTCAGCAGGTAAGAGTCCAGTCAGGCAGGGCGGTACTCTGGCCCAGATGGGTAAGAGATGGGTGTGGAGAGCGGCTATAAAGACAAGCGGGAATAGGACTGTGAAGGAGCCATGGCAGTGACCACACCTAGGACAGTGGATGGAGAACTGAATCGCCAGGACTGGGGAGACAGAGGCTGTATTGCCTATACACTAAGAATGGCGTCCCCAAGGGAGGAGTGGATCTGGGGTGGGGAGGTGGAGGGAGCTGGGAGAAGTGGAGGGAGGGGAAACTGCGGTTGGGATGAAATATCTGAGAAAAGAATAAATAAAACATAAAACCAGCAGATCAGAAGCTGTTGCTCAAAAAGAAAAAAAAAAAAAAGAATGGCATTCCCATTTCTGAGGTGATGGAGCAGAGAAGCTGATCCAGGAAGAGGGAGTGTACCTTAGCACAAAGAGCATGGGGCACCTGTGCACAATCCAAAAGATTTGTGTGGAGGAGACAGGCAAATGTGGTCTGAGCTAGAAGGAGAAGCTGGTGGGAAAGGAAGGCAGCATGCCCGCTGTGGGAAGAGAAGCCAGGAGAAAGAAAGGGCCTAGTCCCATAGCAGCTCTTAGAGTCTCCTTTAGGACTGAGAGGGAGCAAAGCCTAAGAGGGTGCCAAGCCCCAGTTCAGAGGCACAGAATCTGCACTTGACATGAGCTGTCTAAGGTGTTCTGATGGAGGAGGCTCATCTGTCTATCTGTTGCTTTCATTGGTTAATTAATAAAGAAACTGCTTGGCCTGATAGGTCAGAACATGGGTGGAGTAGACAGAACAGAATGCTGGGAAGAAGGGAAGTGGGGCAGATGCTATAACTCTCCTCTCCAAGATGGACGCAGGTTAAGATCCTTCCCGGTAAGCCACCACCTCATGGTGCTACAGATTATTAGAAATGGGTTAATCAAGATGTGAGAATTAGCCAGTAAGAGGCTAGATATAATGGGCCAGGCAATGTTTAAAAGAATACAGTTTCCGTGTAATTATTTTGGGTAAAGCTAGCCAGTGGCCGGGAGCTGGGAGGCGGGAAGCGGCCCGCTGATCCTACTACAGTGTTCCCACATTCCAGCTCCAGAGAAAATACACAGACGGCTGAGGAGTGGGCTTGAGCCCACACATGGGCACTGTCACCATGGAAGACCCAGGAAGGTGAGCCTGAGGCAAGATGACAATGGCGACATTGTAGCCAAGGGCCCAAATGATGAAGCTGTACCATTGAGGCTGGGGACAGGACAGAAATGTGAGCACTATCTCAGAGAGGCAGAGAAGCCTGTGCTTGAGCAAGTGCTGGGGGAAGGGAGGTCGCTAAGACAGCAGGGAGGAGTGAGTGCCCTGGCAGGTGCAGTCCAGGGAAGAGTGCACACTTGTCAGAGCAGGAGTGAAGATGCAGGAAGAGAAGCAGCTCAACAAAAGGAGGCCAGTTATGAAAAGCCTGCACCCACACCATGCTCAGGGTCCCAAATTTGGGGTCGTTCTCTGTCTGAGATTCAGAAAAAGCCCATTTTTATCACTTCTATTCAACACAGTATTGGGGACCACAGCCAGGGAAAACTAGGCAAGAAAAACAAAAGACATCCAAATTCGGATGGGAACAGTAAAGTCACCTCTATTCACAAACACTGTCTTACGCTTAGAAATCCTAAAGGGCACACACACACAAGGAGAGAGAATTAGAAACAAATTTGGGGTGGGGGCTGGAGAGATGGCTCAGTGGTTAAGAGGACCAGGGTTCAGCTCCCAGCACCCACAGCTTACAACTGTCTGTAACTCCTATTCCAGGGGATCTGACAGCCTCACACAGACATATACGCAGGCAAAACAATAGCATACATAAAATAAATAAGTTACTTTAAAAACCTCACAATTTTAGGGCTGGAAAGATGGCTCAGTGGTTAAGAGCAATGGCTGCTCTTTGAGAGGATCCAGGTTCAATTCCCAGCACCTACATGGCAGCTCACAACTGTCTGTAACTCCAATTTAAGAGAATCTGACACCCTCACACATACATACACCCAGGCAAAACACCAATGCACATAAAATAAATAAATATTCAAAAAACCATAATTATAAAAAAAAAACAAGCAAGGTTGCAGGACTCAAAATGAAACTACTAGATAGTGCTGGAAGAAATTGAGGGCATAATTAGAAGTAATCAGAAACATATCTATTCATGGGTCGTTGACTTAATATTGCTACAATATTGGTAGTGACCAAAGTAATCTACTGCATCCAACAATGTGGTTGAAGAAATAGAATAGGAAACTTGGGCTGGAGAAATGGCTCAGTAGTTAAGAGTGCTTGCTGCTCTTCCAGAGACCCTGGTTTGATTCCCAGCACATAAGGACTCACAACCAACTGTAGCGTAGCTCCAGCCTCAGGGTATTCAATGCCCTTTTCTCACCTCTCTGGGCTCCAGGCATGCATGTGGTTCAGACAACATACATGAAAGAAAAGCACTCACTCACACACACACAAAATCCTTTTTTTTTTTTTGGTTTTTCGAGACAGGGTTTCTCTGTAGCTTTGGTGCCCATCCCGGAACTAGCTCTTGTAGACCAGGCTGGCCTCGAACTCCCAGAGGTCCGTCTGCCTCTGCCTCCCGAGTGCTGGGATTAAAGGCGTGCGCCACCACCGCAAGGCCACACAAAATCTTTTTTTTTTTTTTAAAGACTAGTCAAGTATAGTAGTGAGAGCAGAGTAACCAATCGTTAACAACCCTGAATGGTTGCTAACAATTGACAGGGTAAACAATTGTTATACAACTGTGAACAGTTGGTAACAACTGTCATAAATGGCTGTTATTAATCAACAGAAAGCACAAATGGCTGACTGTGAACAATCAGCGGAAAGAATTCACTACCTTCGGACCAGCCCACACAAAATCTTTTTAAGAAAAAGGAAAATCCATTTAGCCATTGCTATGAAACTTCAAATACCCTGAAGTATCCAAAACACTCTAGCAGGAAACAAAGTTGCTCATTCTTTCTTTTTTTGGTTTTTCCAGACAGGGTTTCTCTGTAGCTTTGGAGCCTGTCCTGGAACTAGCTCTTGTAGACCAGGCTGGCCTCGAACTCACAGAGATCTGCCTACCTCTGCCTCCTGAGTGCTGGGATTAAAGGCGTGCGCCACCACCACCCAGCTCTTTCTTCTTTTTCTTAAGACTTATTATTTTTAGTTATGTGTGTGCGTTGTGTGTGCATGTGAGTGCGGTCCCCTGGAGTTGGAGCTACAGGCAGCAGTGGGCCTCCTGATGTGGGTGTTGGGAATCAACTCCAGCCTTCTGTAAAAACAGCAACCATTCTTAACCACGGCTCCATCTCTCCAGTTCCTTTCTTTCCTTTTACATTTATTTGTTTATTTGTGTGCAAGTGTGAGTGTGTGTGTGCACACATGTATGTATGCCACGGTGAACATGTAGATGTCAGAGGACAATTTGCAGGAGTCAGTTCTCTCCTTGGGGACTGTGATGGTTTGAATACGATTGGCCCCCATAGGCTCACAGATTTAAATGCTTGGTCAGCTCTTGGTAGACTGTTTGGGCGGGAGTGGGCATGCCCTTATTGGAGGTGTGTCAATGGAAATGGGCTTTGATGTTTCAAAAGCCCTTGCCAGGACCAGTGACTGTCTCTCTGCCTGGCTGCCAGTGCGTGGAAAGCTCTCAGCTACTCCAGAACCGTGTCTGTTTGCATGCCTCCATGTTCCCAGCCATGAGGATAATGGACTAACTCTCTAAAACTGAATGCAAACTTTCTTTTTTAAAGTTGCCGTGGTCATGGTGTCTCTTCACAGCAAAGAAAGTAACGCAGCGGCAAACGCCCTTATCCACTGAGCCATCTTCCAACCTTCTGATTCCAAAACTTATTGTTAAAAACTACTAAAAATAATCCAAAGTGTGATACATATGTACAGACCAAGGAGACAGTAAGGGAGTCAGGGGTTAACCCTTCCATCTGTCAGTTGATTTTGACAAGGAATCAAAGGGAAAGACTGGTCCTCTCCAACAACAGAATTCTGTAGTCCCATACACAGAAGAATGGAACCGAACCTTGCTTTATGCCATCTACAAAAATTAACTCAAAGTGGATCAGAATCATAAATTTAAGACTCAAAAGTAAGCCTGGAGGTGGTGCACACCTTTAATCCCAGCACTCAGGAGGCAGTTGCAGGTGGATCTCTGTGAGTTCGAGGCCAGCCTGGTCTACAGAGCGAGTTCCAGGACAGCCAAGGTAAAGAAACCCTGTCTCAAAAATGAACAAACAAACAAAAAGACTCAAACATATACGTATACAGCTCTTAATGAAAACAGTGAACAGCAACCAAGGCAGAGGAGGTGGAAGACAAGGGACCTGAGACGGTGGTGTGAGAGGGTGTGGCCAGACTGCCAAGAAAGGGGGCCAGGTGCGAAAGCCCAGTGGTGGGGAGCTTCCAACACAATGTCCCTGGCTGGTTTTGACAGCAGGAGGAGGAAGAGGTAAAAGGTAGAAGTGGTTTAAGTATGGAGAAGGAGCTGTTAGGAGACACACTGAGCAGAGATAACTGGGTAGAAACGGAGATGTCAATAGTTCCAGGGGAAGAGTATGCTTCTCTCCATGGGAACCTAGGAACAACCCCCTGGCACCACTACTCCCAGGAGAGATAGGTAGAAGAAACTAGTTGAGAGGGACAAGGGCTAAATTTCAGTCTCAAAGGGAATGCATAGTCAGCCCTCCCTGTACTCCACTGGCCTGGAGGGCAGAGGCTCATCTTTCTGGTTGTCTGTGTGTGACAAGTGTCTGGATAGCCCCTGAACACTCAGGTCTTTACTGAATGAATAAGCAAGTGACAGAGAATGAGAAGAAAAGTGTCCAGACTCAAGGGGTAGCAGGTGAGTTAGCCAGAGCAGACACAAGAAAGCCCCGGATGTGCTGGCAGGGATGGAGTGGTTGATGCCTAAAAGGAGAGGTGAGGAGAGGAGGCAGGCGTCATGGGCTGAAGGGCTAAGGTGAGCAGAAACGACCCCTACTTAAGTCCACAGGCACAAGAGAAATGGCCTGGTGTGTGAGAAGACAATCTGATGAAGAGGGATGGAGTTTGTGCTAGGACCCCAAGAAGACTGGGGTCCTTAAGGGTCCTTAGTACAACCGTGCCCAGCCTACAGACAAACAGGTGCTGAAAATGGGTCATGCTGGACAGAGCCATGGCTACTCACCTGGGAGTAGACAGTGGCATGGACCCAGGCAAGCCGGCGGCTCAGGTGGTCCAGCTTTTCTGAGAAAACTTTCTGGCTCTTGGTCAGCTCTGCAAGGATATCCTTTCTCTGGCCCACAAGAAGAAAAAAAGACAATCAGAATATGGCCTCACGCCCATATCTCACTAGGCAGTTTGATGTGGGCTCTAGCCCAGGGAAGATGAGGGAGGGGGGTGGGGCTCCACTTAGAAAGCTCACTTCTGCCAGTGGTGATCAGTGGCAACCTAGCAAGTCCCAGAAGAAGGCCCTGGTTAACCCTTCTGTGAGCTCCTGGGACACAGGGCCAGACCGCAACTTCAATGGCTGGGTAGGCCAAGGCTTTGGTGACAGTGGGCAGAGAAGGCCTGCTAAGGAGGCCCAGCCCAGGCGAGGCATGCCATGGCAGAAGGGCTCCAGGGGACTGGGAGAGCCAGGGCCTTCTTCCTGCTGACTCAGGGTGGCTGAGGCGGCACTCAAGGGCCATCCATTATTAACGAGGGCGAGGACTCTGCATCAGCACTTAGTGAGCGGGCAGGGGTGGCGAACCTTGGCACGGGTTGCGGCTGGTCGATGGGGCTCAGGATAGACAGGCTCCTCAGCCAGCCTTGCTCTCACCACTTGGTGCGGTCAGGGTAGGGACAGGGGAAAATGTTGGGGCTTCCCCGGAACAAGATTTCCTTTGTGGGATGCCGTGGTATACTAGGGACCCCCAAGCATACTGTCCCTGTGCCACACCCTTCTGCTCCAATGCCACCTTCCTACCCAGCCTTACCCTCTTGGGGCAGCGGCGGAGTTTGTCCTCTGTGTCTCTCAGGGCCATTGCATACTCATTGACATCATCGGACACGCCCACCATCTGGAGTATTGAACACCACGTATTCAGGGTGACCCTTGGGTACCTTAACCAGGCTTTTTAAAACCCAATCTGGCCCCAGCCTGCGAAGTTCCCAAATCTCTGTCTCTTCCTACAAAATTACTACAGTCAGAGCCAGGCAGCATCAGCAGAGTCCTGCTGTGTGACACGCGCGTGTGCACTGACACCCCACAGGCAGGCATCCCACCAGGCAGAACACCCCTCACAACCATGGATTGACAGAGCAAGACCTTGCCCAGCTGCTGGTGGACGCTGAGGTTATACATCATGACAGTGCCATCCAGGACTTCCAACAGTGAGTTCTCCGTAAGGGGCTGCTCCGGCTCCTCAGGGGGTCTCCCCAATAGCAGGCCCTCATTCCAGTGGCTGCCCTCAACTGGGGAGCAGAAGACAGAACGAAAGCCAGGTTTTTCTATTTGTTCTTTGAGATAGGGTCTCGCTATGTAGACCAGGCTGGCTCTAAACTCCCAGAGCTCTGACTACCTCTGCTTAACTAGTGCTGGGATTAAAGGTGGTGCTACCTCACCCCGCTTCCGATTTTCTCTGAAATATGCACAGGCTGAATGGATCTTCTAGGAGAGGGGATTCCCTCTCTCTTCCTTGTCTAGGAAGGGAGCTTCAGGGAGGTCAAGGGAGGGTGGGGTGCAGGGCAAGGCCCTGCAGCACCAGAACCTATTTTTGTAATATTGATTTCACGTCTTCAGACTGCGCTTCCTGTGCCCTTGGGATGTGGCCAGGCCTCAAGGTGGTAGGGAGTGGGGGGAGGAGGGGACTATTCTGGTTTATACACAGCAGAAGGCTCCCTCAGCAGCTCTGCCTGGCACCTACTGTCCTCACGAGTCCTCTGTTCCACGTTCAGCGAGCGGACCTTTACTTTCTCCACGGTGCTCAGAGGTCGCCGTGGGGTCATGAGGCTCACAGCTGCTGTGCTGAGGAAGCGGTTGGCTCGGCCCAGGGTTGGAGAACTGAGCCAGCCTGGCCGGGGCAGGGGCAGTGCCCCTCCCATGGCCAGGGCTTGCATGGGACGCTGTGGTGGAGAAAGGGGGTCAGAAGCTCATCGACTCTCCTGGGGCCTGTGTAGGGCGCACTTTATATACAGAGTAGGGGGAATGACAGGGAGAGGTCATGCTCCAGCAGCCAGGAACTTCCCTGTGAGAAGCTGGACACGTGTCACACCCCTGCCTACAAGAAGGAACTTCTGGCTGCCCCTACTGCCTCACCTGGGCCGCCGTCGGGGCTGGCTCTTCATCCTCATCCAGGTCATCCATGGTAGCTGCCTGGAGCTCCAGGGGGTCAATCACGATATTGGCTTTGGAAGCAAGGTCATCTGGGAGACAAGCAGGACAGGAGGCTTAGGCCAGCTATAGAAGAGGGACTGTCGACAGAACTGCTCTGAGCAGAGACAGCACTGGCAGGCTGGGGGTGGGGATTGTGCACAGCCTACTCCCCACTGTCCCTCTTATCTCTCTACAGCACAGGGGCCCCTCTAGCTGCAACCAGCAGCAGGAGGCACCCCTTACCCCAGCACTCCTGTGGGTCTCTAGTTTCCTGTAAGACTACTTCATATAACCCACACAGGCACGCCCCGCTTTGCACAGACAGTCCATCTCCAGCTTGGGGTTTGCTTCTCGCTGGGTTTGCAGGTCTCTCCAGTACCCTGGACTTGATATCTCAGGGTCCCCAGGCAGCCCCTCGCTCTGATGACACCAGCTGCAGAGCACCTAGCATGATCAAGGTTACTCATTGTTCTATGGTGCCTGCTTCACACGTGGATAACGGTCCCCCTGCAGTCCATTCCAGAGGGAGTGTCTCATAACATAGACCTAACTTCAGTCCCCAGCCTCTCCCAGGCCTTCCAAAGCTGTCTGTGGAGATTTTGTGCCTTCTGTGTGGCCTGTAAAAGTCTCAGACTGGCCTCACCCTCACAGGTGCCTGCCTCAGACTTGAATTCCCAGCAAGTGTCTGCAGGCCATACTGGGCTGCTTCTGACTTTTATGGTTACTTTTTTGTTTTGTTTTTGTTTCTTTTTTTTTTTTAAAGATTTATTTATTATGTATACAACATTCTGCCTCCATGTATGCCCACACACCAGAAGAGGGCACCAGATCTCATTACAGATGGTTGTGAGCCACCATGTGGTTGCTGGGAATTGAACTCAGGACCTTTGGAAGAGCAGGCAATGCTCTTAACCACTGAGCCATCTCTCCAGCCCTGTTTTTGTTTCTTAAGACAGGGTTTCTCTGTGTAGCCCTGGGTGTTTTGGAACTAGCTCTTGTAGACCAGGCTGGCCTCAGACTCACAGAGATCCACCTGCTCCACCTCCCAAGTGCTGTGATTAAAGGCATGTGCCACCATGTCCAGTGTTGTTGCTTATTTTTAATATAATGTTTTTAGATTTATTTTTACTTGTATGAGTGGTTTTGTACATGTACCATGTGCAAGCCTGGTATCCAGAGAGATGCCCTAGATGCCCTGGATTCCTTGGAACTGGAGTTACAGACTCTTGTGAGCTGCCCTGTGGATGCCAGCACTCAATCCCGGGCCCTCAACAAAAGTAATAAGTGCTCATAACTGCTGAGCCTGCTGTCCCAGGGCCCTGTTTGTTATTTTTTAAAGAAGGTCTCACTGCATAGCCATGGCTGGCCTGGAACTCACAGAGATCTACCTGCCTCTACCCTCCTGAGTGCTGTTTTTTTTACAGTGTGTGCCACCACAGTCTGCTCATTTTGATACTCTTGCCCGTGGGTTCACAGTACCAAAGGCCCTTTGTACCATAGTGAGCTGTGCTCACCAATGAAAGCAGCTCAGACAGCACTGACACACCCCTTACCAGGCTACTAAATCCTGTGTCAATACATCTGCCCCCCCCTCCCACCTTTTTTTTTCCGTGACAGGGTTTCTCTGTAACAGCTCTCTGGCTGTCCTGGACCTCACTCTATAGATCAGGCTGGCCTCGAACTCACAGAGATCTGCCTGTCCAAGTGCTGGAATTAAAGGCCTGTGCCACCACTGCCCGGCCATCTGGCCCTATTTCATTAGTGCATTCCTAGCCTATCTCTAGTGCCCAAGGAAGGCACATCTGGCTAAACTGGAGGTCAAATGCAGCCTAGCAGGTCAGTAAGCCCTGACTAAACAGGGAAGAAAGACTTGGGCACCCTCTAGTGGACAAGGGTGGCTCAGCACCCACAGCAGTGCAGGCTCAGAGGCAGCCAGGGCTGTTCACTGCCACAGCCTCCACTCACCTTTTAGGGTCTTTCGAAGGTGTGAGAGGAGGCCCCCAAGGCGCTGAAGGTCAAAGTAATCCACCTTGCCATTGTAGAAGATCTGTGGTGGGACATAAGCCTCTGCAGGGAGTCAGGGATGCAGGGTCAGCAGTCAGGGGTTAGTGGAACTCTGCAGAGCCGTCTGACCTTGGTCATCCATCGGCCCAGGCAGACAGCAGAGCCAGAGCCCAGGGCTCCTTGTCTCTCTCTCTCCTTGCTGTTTTAGGTTAGCCAACAGCTGTAGGACTTGGGGTCGGGGGAGAATTCTTGGCAGCTGGTTACTCAAGAGAACAGAAGGACAAACTCTATGGGATATCCCCAAACCCAGAGTGCCTAAATCTCCTACTGACTCCTGGGGACTCTATCTGTCCAGATGCAGGAGCCCCAGGACCCATCCGAGGCATCTTCACAAAAGGCTGCACAGAGATCTAGGTACCAGCACTAAGGAATAATGCCTGTCACGGGCAGGAGGAGCCTGTGGAAGTAACCAGTCAACATAGGTCTAAAGGTCCCAGAGTGTGGGGGTTCCTGAAATGGATTTAGCTGGGCAAAGGCCCAGTAATCTTCACATCCAGCTCAGCTCTCACTACCACCACCGGCAGCTACAGCAGACCTGGTTCAGTCCAGCTCTGCCAACCTGGGGTCTGGCATCACTTACCTTCACTGAAGGCAGCACGGGGGTTGGAAACTTTGTATTCGTCCCAATAGAAGCGCAGGGCAGATACCAGCCGGTGTAAGAAGCAGACCATGTACTCAGGGGGGCAGAGCGTGGGCATGTTCTGGGGTCAGATGACAGAAAACATACATTGGTGCCAGGCCAGAGTCCAGCTTATTCCTCATCCAAGGCTGTGAGCCAGGATCCCGGGAGGAAAAGCCGGCAAGAACAACACAGGTGACAGACAGGTCAGAGGCACCAGACGCCCAGATTGCAGCCCTTGCAACACAGCCAGGAGCCCACAATGGCCGCCCTGAGGATACCTACCCCCCGGCCACTGGCATTCTCCTGCAGAAACTTCCGGAATTTTGTCAGAAAAATGTACCTAGAAGCTTCGCCCTTCAAGGAATGGGAAAATGAGGCTATGCTGAGCTGACAGTTACCTTAAAGACCACAGGAATGCGAGCCAGCCCCTGCTCTTGGGCTCAGGGCCCGAAACAGCATCCCCCCCCCCAGCCAGGGATTCCCACAGGAGTCCTGGGTCACTTACCCCATTGTCATCCTTATTATCCAACAGCAGCTTCAGGATCTGGACCTGTAGTCCTTCCACCACTGGGATGGGGCGGGAAATACAGCCTTAGGCTCCCAGGAAAGGGAGCAGGTAGAACTCCAGAACCAGGGTTCCCCGCTTCTGCTGGTATAGTCACCACCAACTGCTCCTAATCCCACCCCTGCCCAAGGCCTGAGGCCAGGGCTGACCTTCAATGCGCTTCTTGAGTCTTTGGCAGCCTCGCTCATAGGCTCTTCTCCTTTGCCGCTCCTCAGTGGTCTCCTCCTCTGCTTCCTTACTGTCTCTGCCCTGGGCAGGAACAGAGGACAGAAGAGAGCGGGGTTTCCTGGGGGCTGACTTACCCAGGACTACTTCACATGGAAGTCCTCACCCCGAGAACTTCAGGAACCAGGGCAAAAGAGGCCTCAGGTACTGGGTGCCAGGTGCACAGGTACACTGGGGCAGGCCCTCACTGTGCCAGCTCCCACCCCGCTCAAGGTCTGCCCACCTCCCTGCTGGAGCGATGGGGCCACCAGGTGGTGGGAATGAGTTCCTGCAGGCCAGCCTCCTCCACACGCAGGGGACTCTTAATATAAAAGAAGACCACTGACCGGAGCATGTCAAAACTGGTAACTGTCAAGGAAGAACTTGGCTCACCAAAGAGCCTACTATATACCCTCACGAGCCCACCTTGGAAGCCTACCTTGATGTACCCACCATAGCTCTCCCATCGTCAAAGATGCCAATCTCACCATGTAACTGTCTCCTAGGTTGTGAGCCTCAAGAGAGATCTATCTATGGCTATCAAATCAGCAAGCCTGCTACCCAGCAAGGGTATGATAAAAACTTGTCAAAGGAACAGGTGGATGGGATGGGCCTGCCAGTCCATCTCAGACCCCATATGTCCCACTGTTTGTGCTTGCTGGAGGCTGAAAGATACCAGACTAAGGGGGCCAGTGCTTAGGATTCCCAAACAGCTCACCACATTGGAGAAACAGGAAGACCTGCCTCTTCAGAGAAGACCTTGTCTGTGCACTCAGACAAAAGTACAGAGATGAGGCTAAAGAGAGCAGGCCGTGGGGCCTTCCCACACCTCCACACACAGCTGCAGTGGAGAAGAGCCCTGTTCAGCCAGCCAGGCAACTGCAGACCTCTCCTTTGCCTTCTCAGTTCTGTGGGGACTCAGCTGTGGTCTCCTGAACCTTCCTAGAGACTCCTGGAGTGGTGGACACTGCCCTCTGCTGACCTTGGAGGGCACTACAAGGCAGGTCTGCCTAGCATCGAGAGGATACAGGACGTTACTAAGCAGAAACTTGCGGGACTTCTCGTGTCTCAGGATAGAAATAGTGAGGCGCAGGTAGTGGATCTGTGGAGAAAGGGGTGCTCAGAATCGGCAGCGAGGCTCGGGGGTTTCAGGGCAGGGACAGATGCTCCCACCTGTAGACCCAGGTCTGGGACAATCGGTGAGAACCGGTAGAGACGCAGCAGAGACATCATCAACTGCTTGAGGCAATCCTGTACCTCATAGTCCTAGGAAGAGATGCTAGGGCAGCCATGACAGGGGCCTCTTCCAGGACCCTACCATACCTCCCTTGCTCTGATGGAGTCTGACAGCCTGGCCTGAGCCTGGAGTCAGAAGTCTTACCTCCATGAAGAGCCACAAGAGGTCCAAGATCTGGTGTACTACTGACTGTGCCTGCTCAGGCGTGCCCTTCTCCATGATCCCCAGCAGGAAGCTCATGAACACAGCCTCCACGAGGTAAACCTTGCGCTACACCAAAGGGCAGGCACTAGTAAAAGTTGGGCCTCCTGCTGCCCAGGAGACCCCTGCTCATGTTGAAGAAGCAGGCCTCGGACACCAAGTTTTGAGCCTTTCAAGCAATTCTATCAGAGATGATCCCCTTCCAGAGTCTGACTGAGGAACAAGAGGAGCTGCTGGCCTGCTGGCCCACAATCTCTCCAGGGCTTTGTCTCACCATTTCCTCAGCCTGTGACATCAAGACCCTCTTCCCCAGGATTCTGTCCTTAAAGTCTGAGGCCTGTGGCCTTACAGAACCCTGGCAGCTAATGTTACTGTATCCCGCGTGAGCCCCAGCAGATGCAGGTATCTACCACAGACATACCGAACATGCCCCCTCTTCCCCTCCCTGCAGTCTCACCAGAAGTGGTGCGAAGTGATGGAAGATGTGGGCCAGGGTAAGCAGGACAGTGGGCTGCCCTTGCAGCTGCCACTCAGAGCTCTCCTTCTCCACCAACCGCCCTTCCTGTAGGTGGGGGAGAAGACCATGAGGGGAGGAGGGCTGGGGTAAGACCCCTGCTTCCCCAGCCCAGACTCTGCTCACCACAGGGTCCAGTTCCACACTCAGCACTGCCTGAAAACAGCCCAGCAATCTCTGTGCCCGCACCAGGTCAGCAAAGGGAGGGTCCTGCAGAGGCCGGAAGCCCGCAACTGGGTAGGTGCCACAGAGTTAAGCCAGCAACCTGAGGCTCAGACACATCCTCCTCCCTCCCTCCCTCCCTCCCTCCCTCCCTCCCTCCCTCCCACCAAGAGCCTAACCAGGGGCCCAGTCTGCATCGCAGTTCTCCCGCTCACTATCTGAGGGGTAAAAACTCTTTTGTCACTTCATGCTCTTCATTTGCTCAATGAAGACAATGGCACCCACCTTAAAAGGACTTTTGTCCTTGGACCAACTTAACTAAGCTGCATCTTGTGTGCATACTGCAGCAACTAGGCTTGCCACCAGCCCATAGTGCTCCTGGGTGGGGAGACCCTCATTTTAGATGCCAAGCCACCCACAATCATATTCCCAAAATGATATCGCAAAGGACGGCTGCCGAAGTTGAATGCCACAGACTCCTTGAATGACAGGCTGATGGCTGGGAAGTAGGCCATTCCTAGGCCCCTGGACAGGTTCTCGAAGGCGGTGCCCAGCGACACACCATTCCTGGGGAGGAAAGGGTAGGTCTGTAAGCCAATGCTAGGAAGGGTATGGTTGCCCACCCTTGGTCTACTGAACTTGGCCTGGCTCCCTTAGAGGGAGCAGTCTGGCCAGGTCTATAAAGATAGGAGACTCACAGGCAAAAGGATAGAGTACCATCATCCAGATCAATGAGGCAGCTCACGATGTCCCCCGCTGCCCATGCCTGCCACAGAAGGAAGCTTTACAGACACGAAGAAGTACAGCTGCCTGCCCGATCCACATCCCAGGTGCATTCCTAGGACCACCCAGGGAAGACTGACCACAGGGAGACAGGGGACTCCAAACCCCCAGACCCTTCCCTGGTATCTAAAGTCCTTTGTAGTTAGCCTGTGGCTCTAGACCACAAGCAATGTGGTGGTTATGGGGTTGGTGATCCACGGAAGCCCAGCCCTCACCTTGCCGTAATTTGTTGTGGTCACGTTCCATTTGCGCACCCGGTTCCCGTCATAGGCGTAAGAGTTATGTGTATCTCCCACCCCTTCCTAGGAAGAAACTGCTTGTGAGGTCTGGGGATGATGGGTAAGGGCAGGCCAGAGCCCACCAGTTGCTAATCTAGTGCCCACATGACTCTAGAGAAGAGTGTGATGTGTTTGCAAGGGTTCTATACCAGGTGCCCTCGAGTAGAATGCAGCATATTCCATCTTTAGTGGGCAACTCAGGTCAGGCACCTGCTCTGAGGATGCCCGCAACACAGACCTCTCTGGGAAAGCCCTTCCCATGTATGTACCTCCTGGTTAAAGCGGCAGTTGATGGTGCACCAGCCGATCTGCATGAGACCCTGGGAGGAAATGAGCACCTCGTAGACCCACTTCCCTAGGAAGAGCAGAGGTAGGCCAGTGAATGAAGACTGCCTCTTGCCTCAGTTTCCTCCCAACTCTCTGAGCCTCAGTGGAGCGTGAGCTCACCTTTGTACACACATGTGGTAGAACGGATAGTGCCGAAGTTGCTGTGTCCAATCACCTGGATAGAGAAAAAAGTAATGTTTTTGTCCCCAGCTGAGTTAACATTGGTGGCACAAGTTTGTCAGGGCCAACACTGCACTGTGTCTAGTTGAGACAGGAGAGACTGTCAAGAGCTTCTGGGATAGAGGCATGATGGAACCAGGGCTTTGCAGAGAGGGTTGAGGTAGTGACTGCACTAAGGTTTCAGAACTGTGGCAGGAAGGCTAAGGCTGAGGACACCATGGTCTGCAGCAGTGTCAAGAGGAGTGCATGGCTAGCTCCATGAGGATGGACACAGAGGAGAGTTTGGGGCTCAACTAGGGGCCCACAACACATGCTCACTCACCCCCAGGAGGTCATCATCCACGAGGAGAAGCCCCTCAAAGCCTCCTGTGTGGTCTAGGACCACGGTAGATGGCCCAAGTCGCCCCTCAACTTGTCCTGAGAAGGGGAGATGTGTGAGATCAGGAGGGCAGAGGCGTTTACAGACACGGGAGATGTGAGTTCAGCAGAGAACCCCAGGACTTGGCACCGTAATTGCACACCCACTCCAAAGAATGCCTCGTACCCTGGCTCTCCTCGTCTTCACGGTCCACCTGGAGCAGCTGGTCCACGTGCTCTGGCAGGTTATGGAAGTTCAGGGGTTTCCTGGAGAGTGAGAGGATGCTGGGGGCCCACAAGCCTTGAGATCAGCCAAACCTCAATCACCCTGAGCCCTGTCTGGTGGCTGGTTAAGCTCTGGAGGAAGGGCTCACCTGGATCTAGACTCTGTAAGCTGGCAGGAGCTAACTCTAAGAGCTGAAGATGGGATTAGCCGCTAAGCTAAAACCTATAGGCACCGTATCCTAGGACTGTTTAAAAAGCAGAACTCAGCAGCCTCAGGCTGGGGAGATAGCATGGTCAGGAAAGAACTTGTCTGGCAACCAAAAGGACCAGAGCAAGAACCCAAGTAAGAAAAAAAAGGGTGTTATGTCATGTGTGTATAGTTTCAGCACTATTTGGCACTGGGAAAGAGGATGCAGGAGGATGGATCCCTGGGTCTCACTGGTGAGCCAACTAGCCCACTTAGCAAGGTCCTGGCCAGTAAGAGACCCTGCCTCAAAACAAACAAAAAGAGGACAGTATCTAAGGAGTGACTCAGAAGTTTGTCCTCTGACCTCCACATGCCCCACATGCTCCTGTGCTTCCAAGTGCATGTGTGTGCATGCTTGCACACATAAACACTACACACACACACTACACACACACACACACCAGCCCTCTAAGTTGTAATTTCCTTATCTATAAACAAACAAAACAATAATCACAACAAAAAGGAAAAATAAACTAGCTGTATGCCACGCTGTGACGATTCCCACGAAAGCACGTGCTCCCAAGTTACTCTTCACCTACATTCTCTCAGATGCATCTGTGCTGATTGTGGCTGAGAAGATGAGGCTGGGAGGAATGCCAGCTGCCACGTGGGCCAGCACCAGGGTTATCTAATCTAGTCCTTAACCCTAAACCTACGGTTCTTTTGGCAGCAACCTTCCCTACTATTCAGCCAAGGGAGACATGTTGGTCAGACATGCCCTGGTATTACAAAGGGCCTGCCCTCTGAGGAGCTGGCCGGCCCTCTCCTATACCTTCCTGTCTTTGGATGTTCATCAGAATACATGCCCCATCTGCTCACAATCTTTTGCAGCTAAAAGGGTGGGGCAAGTTTCGGCAGCTGCCTAATCTTCTCAGCACATGTGTCCCGAGCTCAAAGGACCTATCAGGCTGGGCATGCTTGCACACACCTTTAATTCCAGTACCCAGAAGGCTGAATCAGGAGAATTGCAAGTTTGAGACCAGACAGGGCCACACAGCAAGACCCTGGTGTTTGAGGGGGAGGGAGGGAGACCTGACCTGAGCTCAGCTCCTAAGAATAGTGTATTAACAACCAGCAGGACTTGGCAGAGCAGAGGTCTGCCGCCCATCTGGATCCAGTTCACAGACTGGCACCTGTTCTTCCCTAATCTCAGTACCTGCTTTCCTTACCTAACAGCAAGCTCTGGAAGGGTCAGGTGAGCTAAAGCACCAACTCCCAGCAGGTAGCTCTGACCCAGGTACACAGACCACACACTTCCCTGCAGTACCTCAGGGTTGAATCCAAACTGCAGGAGGTGGATATATACAGAGGCCCCTCCTCACCCTTGCTGAACCCTAGGCCAACGTCCGGAGCCAGCAACACAGTTAACCTAGCCAGTAACAAGGAAGACTGAAGGCAACCCTATGTCTGAATAGCCCAATAGTCCAAAGGCTAAAGGAAGTCTCCTCAAAAGCCATCCTTGCAGGCCCACAATTTAGGAGGTATATGCTCTGTGCCTATGGCAACAGCACACAATACATAGCAGCTGCCGAGATAGACTCCTCTGAGGTAAACCCTGGCTGCCCTTCTGGGAATTCCCAGGTCCCAGCCTAGAATCCTACATCTCCACAACCAAGTGACTGATGGCCCTGCCTCCTGCGGCTACAGCACTAGCAGTAGCATCTGTTAGTGGTCACATGGAGTAAAGTCAGAAGGCCCTAGGAAGAAGCCAGGATCAGGTCGAGAGTGAAGGCAGATAGGAGCCCTTCAGAAGCAGGAGCTTGCTGACCACCCTGCTACTTAAATAGAACAGTAATAAGGCTGTCTTCTGGGCTTCCCAAAGAGTAGAGATTGTGAAGTGGAACAGCCACATGGTCCAGGGAACACACAGGTAGAGAAATCCATGCTTCAGGGCAGGAAAAACATACATGACCCCATAAATAAATTAGGCTGGCAATAGTCTTAAAAGAGATTGCAGTATAGGCATGGTGCCTGTATTCTCATCACTTGAAGCGAAGGTAGGAAGCCTATCAATTTGGGAACAGCCTGGGCAATGCAGCAAAATCAACATTTTTTTTCCTCTGGACAGGGTTTCTTGGCTGTCCTGGAACCTACCTTGTAGACCAGGCTGGCCTCGAACTCAGAGTTTGCCTTCCAAGTGCTGAAATGAAAGGTGTGCGCTATCACTGCCCCACAAAAATCACTTATCTTAAAAAAAGAAGTAGTTGCAGGTCAAATAATTTAGCCATACCTGGACACGCTCGCAGCATGTTTACACAAGCAAAAGCACCTCCAAAATGAGCACAGTGGTAGTGGCCATAGAGGACTCTGGCCCTAAAAGATGTCCACCAAAATCAATTCAGAAGGGGGCTGGAGAGATGGTTCAGTGGTTAAGAGCATTGCCTGCTTTTCCAAAGGTCCTGAGTTCAATTCCCAGCAACCACATGGTGGCTCACAACCATCTGTAATGAGGTCTGGTGCAATTCTTCTGGCCTGCAGGCATCCATGCAGATAGAATATTGTATATATAATAAATAAATAAAATCAGAATATGTAAAAATATTCATGGAATAAACATGATGATAAAAATAGAATTCTAGAGCTGGCCAGAAGCAGGCAGATCTCTGTGAGTTCAAGGCCAGCCTGGTATACAGAGTGATTGGTCTACACAGTGGGTTCCAAGACATCTAGAGCTACATAGAGAGACCCTGCCTCAAAAAAAAAAAAAAAAGCTAATTTCCATAAACATTTAGAAGTGAAGAATATGTTTATTAGTTTGATGCTAGTGATTGTTTAACAGGCTTTACACACACACACACACACACACCTGCTATTTTAAAAAGCTGAGCCTGCTGGGCGGTGGTGGTGCACACCTTTAATCCTAGCACTTGGGAGGCGGAGGCAGGTAGAAATCTTGAGTTTGAGGCCAGCCTGGTCTACAGAAGGAGTTCCAGAACAGTCAGGGCTACACAGAGAAACCCTGTCTCAAAAAGGAAAAGAAAAAAAAAAAAAACAGAGAGAAAGAGAGAAAAAAAAAAAGTAGAAAAACAAAACTGGGGTTTTCCAAGAAGAGTGCAAGGGGGTGGACATGATCAAGATGACACATTGTACGTAGCTGTGCCATTAGTCCCAGAACTTGGCAGGAAGGTCTGAGTTTGAGACCGGCCTGAGTTCAATCCCAAATTGTCTTTGACTTCCAAAAGTGACAAGCACAAGCCCCCAAACACACACCAAAAAGAAAAAGAAAGAAAAGGTGCAGGGGGCCTAGTGGCGCTACAGATGTGGGGCACTGTAATCTGAATACTTAGGTGGTAGAACCCTCCTCCTCCCCCCTCCCCAAGCTCCAGGGCACTTGGCCTAAATTGAGAGTTCCAGGCCAACCTGTCTTACACAGGGAGACCAGTATCAAAAACGAAAACAAAAGCAACTTGTCTTTTTTTCTTTTTTCTTTTTTTTTGGTTCTTCAAGACAGGGTTTCTCTGTAGCTTTGGAGCCTGTCCTGGAACTAGCTTTTGTAGACCAGGTTGGCCTCGAACTCACAGAGATCCACCTGCCTCTGCCTCCAGGGTGCTGGGACTAAAGGCGTGTGCTACCACCAGCAGGCTGCAACTTGTCATCTTGAACGTTTAAAAAAGCATGTTGTTTACTTTGTTTCAATTATTACACAATAATAAGAAAAACAGTGTTTCCTCTCCTCTTATAGATCAGTCTTTAACCTGGGTCCTCCTGCTTTTTAGCATCCCCAAATGTTGGGGTTACATTCCTGAGCCACCACCCTCTGGAACACTTTTCCATAAGGGCTCGGGTTTTTTTTTAAAGTCTGATATTCTGTAGAATCTGAACTATGTACATTGTGAGATAAAGAAACCAGAAAGGAGCCGGGCGGTGGTGGCGCACGCCTTTAATCCCAGCACTCGGGAGGCAGAGGCAGGCGGATCTCTGTGAGTTCGAGACCAGCCTGGTCTACAAGAGCTAGTTCCAGGACAGGCTCCAAAACCACAGAGAAACCCTGTCTCGAAAAACCAAAAAAAAAAAAAAAAAAAAAAAAGAAACCAGAAAGGGATCACATTCAAATAGTTACATCTAACTAACAACAGAACAGGGGTGTTGCTTCTATTTGTTTTGAAGTTTCTGCTACTTGTAACTTTTATGCAGGTTGAACACAAGTGTATCCAGCTGAGGTTTCTACTATGTTAATTTCAGGAAGAGGCACAAATGGCCAGGGACATATACATAAGGCCAGATACTGGTGCACACAAATTCTTCCTTCTCTGGGCCCTCCTCAGAAGGAAGGAGCTAGCTCTATCTGGAGAGAGGAACAGAGTCCAGAGAGCAGACTGGAGGCACAGGTCTCACAGCAGGGAGTAGAGTGAGAACAGAACTAAGACAGGCTGCCCTTCCCCATAACGAGTCTCTGATCCGGCCCAACAAAGAGGACAGGGGCTACACACCCAACCATACCTGCTGGTGGCTGCAGGGGGCCCACGGTCAGGAGAGGAAAAGATACGGTACAGGTAGTCATTCAGTAGTTTCTCCTGCACAATGCCTGGGTCACAGATCAAAAGAAAGGAAAGAGGCAGTGATCAGAACAGCTCTTGGTCCCTACTGACCCCACAGACAGCTAGCCTTTGGCCAGCCCAAGGGTCAGCAGAGCAACCACACTGGGGGCATGGCTCCATGGGTGCTGGTGAAGAGCCAGTCACAGGAACAAGGCGTATTAGAAGGCCCAAGTTTCAGGGGACCTGGGCCCTTGCTGCATTTTCCTTTCCTTCTCCTTCCCCCAATACAAACTGCACCCTCCCTGCCAGCCCTTACCTGTGACCCTGGACTTCTCAGCATCTGAAGTCAGTCTATAGCTCTTTCGGGGAAAAGACATGCCAGCCCCCTTGGATGCCATCCTTCATCACTCATGGGCAGCCAGTGGTCCTAGAGGCTGAGCCAGATGCAGAGTGTGTCTACTCCAGGCTAGTCAAAGGCCCACACAGACCTCAGTCCTGCAACGGGGGAGGAAGGCTTGGGAGCCGGTGAGACTGAACCATACACATTCACACACATACTAATCTAGGGCCAGGGTAAGCACGGGCTCCCAGTTTTCCACACAGCAATGGTAGATGAGATCTAGGCTGATGCCAGGGATACTGTGTCCCACACTGTCTCAGTGCCCCATGCAGGACCTAACAGAGACCAGGCCTTGGCTCTGGGAAAATCATATCAACATGTCCAAAGTGAGGTGGCCTAGAGTAAAAACTCCTATATCCACCTTAGTCAAGGAATCCAGCTCATATTCAGAAGACAAAACCCTATACCACATTCCCTCAAGTATAGACCACCTGCGGCCACAAGTCCCTCTTACTCCCCCAGAGTAAGAGGTAAGAGATACCTTGTTTAGCCCAAGTTGCCTCTTTTTTTTTTTTTTATCTACGGTCTCATTAGCTTTCTTGTGCCCCACCCCCAAGCCTTCTACCCTATGCAATCACCACCCTAGCTAAGATCACGCCATAGGCCTTCCTGCCACGGTCTATCTAGCCCTTACGTAGCTGCAGCTGCTCCAGAAACTACACCCACTCCCCATGCCTGCCTCACTCTAGAGGTGTGCTGCACAACACTGTAGTCAGGAAACAAGAGTGGTTAAGTTTACAAGGTTAAAAACTGAAACTTTCAGTTTCAAGAGTTCAGCGACCACACGGGACTGCAAACTGCAAGGCACAGGTGTCCCATCACCACCGGCCCACAAACTTTATTAGCCTTTAGTCACTGCGTGAGCCAGCCATTTCTTTTCTGCAGCCCACTCTTACCGCACCCCAAACAGGCCCTCAGCTCCCGCCACAAACCCTTGCCTGCCTGCATCAGGCTCGGGAAGGTGATTCTGCTGCCGTGCCTCCCTACGGAGACCCTCGATGGACACCACAACCGGTCCCCCCTATGTCGGAACAGTTGCAGGACTTACTGGACAGTTATTAAGAACGGGAAGCCAGCCTTTCAGACACTCATTCTGGGGTTCAGGTGTAGAGGATTTAGAGGCGGAACCTGCGCCTGCCCCGGGGCTCCCTTGCCGCTCCTAAGAGATTCAGGCTCGGAACCGAACCGACTAGGTCTGAGTGTCCAAGGACGCCAAGGGCAGCGCATGCTTCCCCAGGTCGCCTCCGCCTGGCCCCAAGCTCCGGAGGACCTGTCAGGCCAGCTCTCGCGGGGAGTCCTACACCGCAGGCCTCGGCACCCCCAGCGGCAAGCGCTGTCGCACTGGATCGGCCCGGGGCCTCGAGGGAAGCCACCGGACCAGCCCGGCTCACAGCCAGGCGGCCTCTCACTCACCCCCAGCCTCAGCCTCCGCGACCGGCTCACAACATCCGCCCAGCTTTTCGGCTACGGCACCCGTCCAGGGCCAAACCGCGTGCCCGCTCGCGCGCCGCTCCTCCAGCCGCGCACGCGCATATGCACAGACCTCAACAGGCCCTTGGCACCAGAAAACACTCCCCCGACTCCCACCCTCCCACCGAGGTATTCACCTCTGTTTCGCCTGACGTACCAACTGTTTCCGAACCCCGCCTTCCCTAGTCCAACCGAAGCAGGGGACTATATTCTAATTGGTCCCTAAGTCACCTGTCTCAACGCCTACCTTGCTTTGGAGGCCTGACCCACATGCAACCTAAGACACCTGAAAAGGCACTTCTGTCAGCAAATTTGCTACCTGTCACACCCGCGCACACCCCTCCCTGCACCAGGTCCAATGAGAGGGTTTGCTCACCTTACCTGGAATGACACTTCTGACAGGCGGCGGCGCGTGTTCCTAGGATCTGCTGCTAGGGGTGTGGGCTGACCAGCCTACAGCCGGGACTCAACTGATAAGGCGGTTTGGATGGGGAGAGGCAGCGTTAGGGTTGAGAAACAGTGTTCCTCACTTTACAGGGAGAAACTGAGGCCCGGAAAAGTATACTACAGAGGCTGGGAAATCTTGGCAGCTCCTGCTAGCAGGGTCTTTGGGCATATAGAGATGACGGCGGTGATAATGGGTGGCACACCTGTGCCTCGCAGTCTAGTAAAGCCACTGTAGTCCCTGAACTCTCGAAATGTGGCAGTGTAAGTGAAAAATTCAGTGTTTAGCTTTGGAAACGTAATCACCTGCGTGGTCGGACTACTGTGACCAGCACACCTCTGTGGTGGGGACTGCATAGGGTGCGGGGCGGGGGAGGTCTGCCTCAGGAATGCCCAATGTGTCCGCACAGAACCCTCCTGTCCACTAAATGGAGAGGACTCTTGGGAATCTAGCTGCATTAGAAAGGCCTGTGCCCTTGACCTAAGGGCCTGAGGCCTGACCCCCACCTAGCAATGATCACCCTGTGTCAGTCAAGCCCAAACAGGTTCAGAGAGGGGGCGTGGAGCCAGAGTCACCCAATCCTCTAGGGACGCATTTCACAATTTCCGGGATGGGGCTGTGGTGGGTCACAGTGCAGCCTCCAGCTATGAGTACGGGGTGGTTTCCCCTTTTGCTGCTTCTGACACAGTGTCCAAGGGCTCTTGGTGAGTGTCGCCCACCCTGATCCCTGTTTGCCATTTGGAGAGTCCGCCCCAGGCCCCTATGAATATTCTCGTCAAGAGTTTACTTTTCTGTTGGGCAGGGGTTAGTGACCTTGGCCTGCTGAGCAGAGCTGAGAAGGCCTGGGAATTCAAATCTACACTGCTCAGGCCTCCATTAGAACGCATGCTGAAACAATGAGACAGACCTGGGACCACAGAGCTAGCCGACACAGAAGGCGTGGCTCCTAGGCCTAACCTATAGCTAACATAAGCCTTTACACCCACACTGGTGAGAGCCCAGACTTGGGAGTCAGAACGCTGGAGATGCGGTCTTCCCTAGATAGTATCTTCACTTTGAGTACAAGCTTTGTCATCTGAGGGGTGAGTCAGACAAGTGTCAGAGGGCAAACACCACCACCCAAATTCTCAGGGAGTAAATGCATTAGACCTGAGTTCCGTGCCAGGCTTACAGACTAGCTATAATCCCCGACTCAGTGGATGTAGGGAGGTTAGGTTGGCCCTTGAAAATACACACAAGGTCCACACAAAACACCTTGTATTTGAGCCCCTAAATGAATAAAGCATGGGACGTGTTACGATACATGTACTGATATGCCGGCCATTTCCCCATGCCCATCCCGCAGGGCAACGCTCACCATTGAATGACTTCCAGCTGCTCCGGGGCATTGAGTTAAAGAACCTCCTGCATACAGTGGCCCCAGGACCATGGCAGGAGGATGTGGCAGATGCGGAGGAGTGTGCAAGGCGCTGTGGGCCCCTTCTGGACTGTCGGTGAGTGGCTAAGTCGCCTAGCTACAGATGAAGGTATGAGACTCTGGGTTACCCATTAAGCTTGTGTCCGCTGCTCCCCAGAGCCTTCCACTACAACCTGAGTAGCCATGGTTGCCAGTTGCTTCCGTGGACTGAGTACTCGCCCCACACACAGCTCCACCAGTCAAGTCTGTGTGATCTTTTCCAGAAGAAAGGCAAGTGGGAGTGGAGTGAAACAGGGTGAGCAATGGGGGGGGGGGGGTGGCGAAGCCCCGGCCCCTGCTGATCTTCTCTCTCTTGCTTCCAGACTATGTACGAACCTGCATTATGGACAACGGGGTCAGCTACCGAGGCACTGTGGCCAGGACAGTTGATGGCCTGCCCTGCCAAGCCTGGAACCGCAGGTTCCCCAATGACCACAAGTGAGACAGATACATTGTTGCTGGTCCTGGGGCAGACTTCCCCCAGCATGCAAAGCAGTGAGGTTCTCTGCCTACAGGTATAGGCCCACACCAAAGAATGGCCTGGAAGAGAACTTCTGCCGAAATCCCGACAGGGACTCTAGAGGTCCCTGGTGCTACACAACAAGCGGCAGCGTGCGGTTCCAGACCTGCGGCATCAAGTCCTGCAGGGACGGTAAGCAGCTGGGGTCAAAACTAGGGAGGGAGCGGCAGACCTGCTTCCACCCAGAAACACACTGGCCCTATGTTTACAGCTGTTTGTGTTTCGTGCAACGGCGAGGATTACCGTGGCCAGGTAGACGTTACAGAGTCGGGTCGCGAGTGTCAACGCTGGGACCTGCAACACCCCCACTCGCACCCTTTTCAGCCTGACAAGTATGTAGGCAGAATCCTTATTCTGAGTATGGGTCTCAGTCCTACTGCGGAGGGACCTGAGTCCTAGAGTCTTGTTACTACCCCCAGGTTCCTCGACAAAGCTCTGAATGACAACTATTGCCGTAATCCGGACGGATCTGAGCGGCCCTGGTGCTACACCACAGACCCGAATATCCAACGAGAATTCTGCGACCTTCCCAGTTGCGGTAGGCTGCAGGGACAGGACAACTTGGCAAAAAGTGGCGGGCGTGGCTCAACGGGGGGGGGGGGGGGTATTAAAAGTTAAACGTGTGTAGAGAGCACAGCCTGCCGAGTACCAGACACCCTCGCCAGGCAAGCGTAGCTCCAATTGCAACTTTCCTACAGGGCCCAACCTGCCACTGACCACCAAAGCATCCAAGTCACACCGGCGCAGCAAGGGCAAGACTTTTAACTGCTTCCGCGGGAAAGGCGAAGACTATCGAGGCACAACCAACACCACTTCTGCGGGTGTGCCCTGCCAGCGGTGGGATGCACAGAGCCCACACCAGCACCGCTTTGTGCCGGAGAAATATGCTTGCAAGTGAGGTGACAGATTGGAGCATGGAGGAGAGTGCGCCTGTGGGTGGGGGCGGAGCTTATGGGAAGGTGCGACCTGGGGACAGAGTCATCCGGTTCCAGCCTTCTGTGGGTTGGCTGGCGGGCTAGGTGGAACTCCACCCACTATAAGGGAAGTGCCTGTTCAGGGACCTTCGGGAGAATTTCTGCCGGAATCCTGATGGCTCCGAGGCGCCTTGGTGCTTCACATCTCGACCTGGTTTGCGAGTGGCGTTTTGCTACCAGATCCCGCGCTGTACAGAGGAAGTGGTGCCAGAGGGTGAGGCTGGAGCAGGAGGTACAGAGCCAGGCCAGGAACCGGGAACCGACCCTGGGGCTGACCTCTGCCCTTGCCTGCCCACCACAGGCTGCTACCACGGCTCAGGTGAACAGTATCGAGGCTTGGTCAACAAGACCCGCAAGGGTGTTCAGTGCCAGCACTGGTCCGCGGAGACACCACACAAGCCGCAGTAAGTGTGAGCCCACAACCCAGATTGGACCCTAACTCTAGGGGAAAATGCCTTGGCTTCTCATATGTGAGCCCGAAGTGGACCTGACTGGCCTGCTATGGACAGATTCACACCCACCTCAGCACCGCAGGCGGGATTGGAGGCCAACTTCTGCCGGAACCCAGACGGAGACAGCCATGGGCCCTGGTGCTATACTTTGGATCCAGCAACCCTGTTTGACTACTGTGCCCTACAACGCTGTGGTAAGTGCTGAAGACGCTTCCCCTTGGCTGGGTTTCACCTCCGAAGACCGGCTCCCTTAACCTGAATGAACTTGGTCTTCTAGATGATGACCAGCCACCATCCATCCTGGACCCCCCAGGTACGGGCTTGGCCAGTTGTGGGAACGGCTTCTTTGACCCTGACCCGCACTGAGGATTTCATCACCCCCATCCGTCCCCCCAGACCAGGTGCAGTTTGACAAGTGTGGCAAGAGACTTGACAAGAGCAACAAACTTCGTGTGGTGGGGGGCCATCCTGGGACCTCACCATGGACAGTCAGCTTGAGGAACCGGTGAGGAAAGGAGCTGAGGGGGAAGGGGAGGGGTGGGAGGGAACTGTGGTTGGAATGTAAAATAAAATTAAAAAAAAAAAAGACAATTTACAGGCTCACCAGTTTTTTAAAAACATTTTTAAAAATAAAATGTTTTGTCAAAAAAATAATAAAAAGGGCCTGAGGCTGTAAACATTGGGGTTGTACCAGGAGAGGATGGATGCTTGGTCCTGCACCCAGAGGTCCTTGCCAAAACGGCAGGTCTAGTATGTGTCCCAGGACTCACTGTTGCTTCTCCTAATCTATCCCTCTAGACAGGGCCAGCATTTCTGTGGCGGGTCTCTAGTGAAGGAGCAGTGGGTACTGACCGCTCGGCAATGCGTCTGGTCATGGTGAGCCTCCCTTGGGCTTAAGGACCGGGTCTCCTCGCTTACCTCGATCCCCCTCTTCCTGCCATTGCCCCCACCACCCCAGCCACTTTCCCCAGAAAAGCCAACAAGCAAAGCTGTTGGGAGAGCTGACTAGGAGTCAAGAATGGTCTAGCAGAGTATCTTTCTCCCAGTCATGAGCCTCTCACAGGATACGAGGTATGGCTGGGTACGATCAACCAGAACCCACAGCCTGGAGAGGCAAACCTGCAGAAGGTCCCAGTGGCTAAGACAGTTTGCGGACCTGCAGGCTCCCAGCTTGTTCTGCTCAAGCTGGAAAGGTAGGTGGACAAGTTAAGAGGGTGTGAGGTGGGGCTGGCTCTGTGGTCATAGGTCCTGAATATCCCCATTCCTGTTAAAGACCTGTGACTCTGAACCATCATGTGGCCCTGATTTGTCTGCCTCCTGAGCAGTATGTGGTACCTCCAGGAACCAAGTGTGAGATTGCAGGCTGGGGTGAATCCAAAGGTAAGCACAGTGCATAGACAGATTATTCCACGCTGGGCAGCCTAGCACTGGTTTTGACTGAGGGCCTCTCCTTACCATCCTCCTCACTCCAGGTACAAGCAATAACACAGTCCTTCACGTGGCCTCGATGAAGGTCATCTCCAACCAAGAATGTAACGTGAAGCATCGAGGACACGTACAGGAGAGTGAGATGTGCACTGAAGGACTGCTGGTCCCCACAGGGGCTTGTGAGGTCAGTGGAGAGCTCCTGGGCCAGGCTGGGAGGGGTTTGGGAGCTGGAATTGTACTATTTGATGACCAAGATGGGAGTTGGGGGGAGGCTAGTCACTGCCAAAGTCCAGAGCCCTCACCAGTTCTCCTACCTGCCAGGGTGACTACGGGGGACCACTTGCCTGCTATACCCATGACTGCTGGGTCCTAGAGGGACTTATAATCCCTAACAGAGTATGTGCACGGCCCCGCTGGCCAGCTATCTTCACACGTGTGTCGGTATTTGTAGACTGGATTAACAAAGTCATACAGCTGGAGTAGGCCTGGTTAGATCCCTTAGGGATGACAAGACTTCTCAAACATAAAGCAACCTTTCTCTCTGTCTGTACAGTGCGCTTCATAGTCTCTGCTTCTATGGAATGAGCTGGTGACTCCTTACGGGGAGGGGGGGGTTTAGGACCAGCACAGATCTGGTTAGGGGTTCTGATCCTGGAAAAACTTCAAAATGCATGTACTGTGGATGGGCAGGGTGTCATTTCTGGGAATGCAAGGACAATGCAGAGCATTTTCCAACAGATGGGACTGTAGCAGAGAGCTGTTGTCTGCACAGTCCCAGTCGGCCAGGACAGATGACAGCGATGAATCCACTATGGATGTCAAAGAAGGCCAAGGGTTTCTGATCCCCAGGGTGAGGTCTGGGGATGGCTTGGTACAAAGTACCAGCACAAACCAGGCTCTATGTCCTCATTTATTATGACTATGGAGTCCATATTCCTCTGCCCACCATCCAGAGTCCAGAGCCCAGGAAGCCTCTTGGCTGTTCTGCCAGATCCTGGAGTTTACCAAGAGCAAAGTGCGAGATGAACTGGCCAGTTCCCACAGAACGGTAGAGCTTCAGCTGCCCAAGTGTGTGTGCAGCCAAAGCAGAGTATTCATGAAGCTGTCTGACTCCACCTCCACCTCTGAGAGAGCGTGAGTGCTTTTGGGATAGAGCAGGAGCCTGTGTGAGAAGCAACACATGAGGATGGAGGGTCCCGTCCTGCTTACCTGCCGCACGCTGCCAGGACTGTCCTCTGACACTCACCGAACAGGCACATTCCGGGCCTTGAGGGCACGGTAATACTCCATACCCTGCTTGAAGGGTACACGCCGGTCCTCCTGGCCCAGCATCAGTAACACTGGTGTCTTTACCTAGATGTATGGGGAGCAAGGAGCTGTGGTGAGCTGAGCTCTGGATTCTGGAGGATGAGTGGTACACAGAGAAGGGGACCTGGGTACCTGAGGGATGTACTTGATGGGTGATTTATCCAGCATCTCCTTCCACACATTCAGATCTGGCAGGCAGTCATTGCTATAACGGAAGCCAGTCTCCACCACACACCTATAAAAGGCCAAGCTCATGCAGACTGCAGGATCTCCATGGGAATTTGGGGGTGAAAGGAAGAGCAGAGACCTTTTATGCCGACTCACCAATCAGGGATGTCTGTGGAGCCCATCATGGAGGCAATGTTGATCACAGGGTTCCGGGCTATACAGGCACTGTAGGTCTCTGGGTACTGACCAATCAGGTGGCAGGAGAGGAACCCACCATGGGAACCACCCATAAGGGCCACACGGCTTGCATCAAAGTGTTCCTCCTGGAGCACCTGCTCCACTGCAAACTAAAGGGTGGGCAGAGGACACTGCAGCTAGCTTCCTGTCAGCAACAGAGCCATGAATCCACCCTCCCTGTCAGGAGCCCAGCACCCCGCTACCTGGACATCCTTCACATCCTGGTGACCCACATTGCCTGGGAGAGAAAGGATGCTGTCTTGGCCAAAGCCAGTGGAGCCACGGTAGTTCACTAAAAGTAGGAGACAAGAGTTTTCTTAGCCCTCTGGACCCCATTCCATGGATCAGTGAAGCAGGGCCGAGAACCAGCTGCATCACAGGTTGCCGAGGGGACGTAGTCACGAGAGAGTTCACAGCATCCTTTCCATGGAAGCCTCAAGTAATCCTCATGATCCCCAGGTTACAGAGCCAGAGGCTGGGTCACAGCAACTTTTTTTTTTTTTAGTGGCGGTTTCTTTTTTATTTTTTTAAGACAGGGTTTTCCTGTGTAGCCCTGGTTGTCTTAGAACTCACTCCATAGTCCAGGCTGGCCTCAAACTCACAGAGATCTGCCTGCCTCTGCCTCCTGAGTGCTGGAGTTAAAGGTGTGTGCCACCACGCCCAGCCCTAGTAGTGGCTTCTAAAGAAAGAACTAGAGAAAAGCCTAATGACTAGAGTGACTACCCAGACATGGGGTACACACAACCCAAAGGCTACCTCTTCACTGGACTGAGCTCCTTTCTTACCCAGTAGCACTGCAAAGCCCATCTTGCAAAGCATGGCTGGGAACAGCATCCAGGCAGTGACAAAGGATGAATGGGGTCCCCCTGCAGAAAGGAAAAAGAGGATGAATGGGCCAGCTAGGAGGGGTGGTAGGAAGGCGAGGGCCCTAAGGAGATACCTACCGTGGGGCATGACCACCATGGGTACCTGGGTCTTATCTGGAGGGTTGCTGGGCTGCACAAGGATTGCTTCAAAGTCAAGGTCAGCTGCAGGGAGAAGGCAGTAATCAGCAAGATCAGTGCTACTGCTCAAGGGCTTCCTCCCCAGCTAAGGCCCCATAGCATGAGTCTGGTCAAGAGAAACAGGCCAAGGTAGCTGACACCATGACACACGGACTCCCAAGGCTTCTGCTCTTCCCGCCTAGTCAGAGCCTGACATTTGAAAAGATTGCATTCTGGCATAGTCACGTAAGCCTCGTGTGTGGCCCATTTTCTTTGGGCCTTTGTTTTCTTACCACAGAGGCTATGCCCTGTCAGGACCTGGTGGTGGTTACCACAGCAGGCACTCAGTTCTCTGGATGCTACTCTCCATGAACATAAGAACAGAAAATGTTTGGAGGAAAAACCCTAGAAACCCTGAAATGTGAGCTCGGAGGGGTCACCACATGCTGTGTGCTGGGGACCTGGAGAAGGTGTTCATCTACTGTTGGCCCAGCTCACCATATTGCACATTCTCTTGGTCTGGAGGTGGATGTAGCACACGGATGCCCCAGTGGATGTCAGGAATGGGTTCAGCCTCCTCTAGGGACACCCACGACACAGACTGTTCCTTCCCAGCAGGAGGCAGGAACCCAACTTTCTGCCAACGGGAAGGAAAATGTCACAGGTGGCCAGCTCTCAGGAACGCATCTCCAAAGGGCACAGCACATATTTCTGTGAGTGGTTTACCAATTACACCCACATATAAACCACTCCTTACCACTGCCATGTTTCTTGGCTTTAGGTTCTTCTGTCGTCATCTTTTTCAGGACAGTACAAATGACAGCACCTAGCTCCTACTCACGAGTGCTGTGCTCAGTTGGATCCCAGTCTCTACCCTTCTACACGCTGACCAGCATGGTCAGCCTTTGGACTCGTTTCTAAGGCCTGAAAGCTCACAACTCCTGTCTTCTAGCCTGGAACTCACCAATACTCACCAGGCTCGGGGGTAGGTTGGGCGTGGAAAACTGGGCCACCATGAGGTCCCGATCAATCGTAAGCAGCTTCCAGCTCCCACCGGAGCCCCCTAGAAGAAGAAGATGATAGTAAGGGCCTCCACATTTGTACCTTCAACCCTGAGACCACTTCCTCTGAACACCTAACTGCACATGCCCTGGGTCAGCCTCCTGTTCAATCCCTTGCTCGTCTGACAGACACTGGCTGTGCTTAGGAACTGCCAGACCTAGGGACACAGAAAACTACCAAAGTACTCTACCCACCCCAATGGCTGCAGTGTAGAAAGGATGGCAGCCTAGCCCAAAGCAGGGTCGGGGAAGGGGGCCGGATAGGAGTCTAAGGTTTATCCGCTCACTTATTTACTTATGTATGCCAGAACCTGTGTGTGCTAGACAAAGGCCTTAGCAATGAGCTATGTGCCAACCCAGAGACAGAGAAATAGAACAGAACTTTGACATCCATGGTGGTTTGAATGAAAATGGCCCCATAGATTCACAAGGAGTGGCACTATTAAGAGGTGTGGTCTTGTTGGAGGTATCTGTGGCCTAGTTGGAGGAAGTGTGTCACTGGGGGTGGGCTTTGAGGTTTCAGAAGCTCAAGCCAGGCCCAGTGTCTCTCTCCTCCTGCTGCCTGCAGATCTAGAGGCAGAACTCTGGGCTCATTCTCCAGCACCATGTCTGCCTGAGCGCTGCCTTGCTTCCCACTACAATGATAATGGACTAAACCTCTGAACTATAAGCCAGCAAGCTCCAATTAAATATTTTCCTTATTTAAGAGTTGCCATGGTACCGGATAGTGGTGGTGCACGCCTTTAATCTCAGCACTTGGGAGGCAGATGCAGGTGGATTTCTGTGAGTTCAAAGACAACCTAGCCTACAAACTAAATTCCAGGACAGCTAAGATTGTTACACAGAGAAACCCTGCCTCAAAAAAAAAAGTTGTCGTGGTTATGGTGTCTCTGAGACAGCACCTTTCTGGGGGAGTATGTAGAGTCAGAACAGGTGGAGAATCCAACTAAATCAACAAAGGTTTCTCCAAGGTTTGGGAAGGAGGTGGATGCCTGACAGTTGGCAAGGAAAGTGTGCAGACTTTAGGGTAGGGAGGGCTATGGAGCAGGGCCCAGGAAGGCAAGTGGAGCAAAGGTGGCAGTGTACCGCTTAGATCCTAAAGGCTGTGGGCAGTGCTAAGAATGACGGAGAGTGCCACCGCCGCCCCCACTCCTAACCCATCCACTGCCCTGCCATCACCCCACTGCAGAAGTCTGCTCACCAGCTGTCAGGGAGGTAACACTGCCCATCTGGGTGTCCACAGCAAATAGGTCCTTAAACAGAGGAGAGACCACATATGGCACCACATTCAACAGCCCTATGGGTCCTATCCCTATTTTCTTTCTACTATCTTAGGGACACTTTGGCCTATGGTGGAGGCTACTCTGTGCACCAGGGAGTAGCATGGATAGAGATTCAAATCTCAGTTCCTTCATAATTTACGGGCTATTCCCAGGCAAGGTGCAGGAACACCACGGAGCCTTACTTGAAGATGTGAGAACAAATGACATCACATCTAAAAGACCGTGGTACACTATGGGCACCTTCACTTATTCTTCAAGAAGAACTCCTCCAACACCTGGTCTTACAGTGTTGAGGGACCTACTCAGAGACAGCCCCAGGTTTTCCACCGGGAAACAGGCCTAGGGCGTTGCCGTGGGGCACCATGACATCTGGTCCCCTCAAGGAAAAGCAAGCCCAGCAGGAGGCTAAAAAGGCTTGAAGGGGCCAGTAATTAGACTGGGACTAGGCATTCCTGTAGGCGCAGATACTCACTCTGCCCCAGGTCCTGGACTCCTTGGCCGACAATCATA